AATAAATAAACGAATATTTAAATGAATTATTGAATGTGCTTATACAGTAATTGGTTAGATGAATGAATGAATGAACGAATGAATGAATAAAAAAAATGAATGAATAAAAAAATGAATGAAAGAACGAACCTGAGAGTTAATGATTGAAGACTTGAATGAACACAAGAATTCGAGAGATGACTTATTTGTTTATTTCAATTCCTCGTCCTCAAATCCATCCATCCAGCACTTGCCTCAACAAATATTATTTTTCGAACATTTAAGGTACCTCCATATAATCGTATGACCATGTATCACCTGCAACATCAACAACAATATCAACAACATCAACAACAACATCAACAACAACATCAACAACAACATCATCAACAACAACATCAACAACAACAATTTGACGTATTGACGAATCAAACGATAGAAAGCACCAAAGACAACGCCTGGTTAAATTTTCATGGCACACAGGTTGGTTGGCTGGCTGGTTGATTGGTTGGCTGGTTGATTGGTTAGGTGGTTGATTGATTGGCTGGTTGATTGGTTGACTGAATGATGGTTAATTGATTATATGAATAAATATGATTGAATGATTATTAATTGAATGAATGGAAATAGATTGTATAATTGGTTGAATATGGTTGATTGAATAAATTAATGAATAAACGAGTGAATGAATGAATGAACGAACGAATGAATGAATGAGCAAAAGAAGGAATGAATGATTGATTGAATGAATGAATGAACAAATGAACGATGAATGGATGATCGAATGATAGACCAACCAACTAAACTGACAGACTAGTAGATCCTTTATTTAATTACTCAATTAATTTTCGAATTCTTCGACTAATTAATCAACAATTATCTCAATAATTAAGGATTGAATGAATGAATGAATTAATTAATTGTTTACAAAAATATATATTAATTGCCAGACTATGTTAATTGTATATTTAATCATTATCTTATTATGGCATCATTCATTCTTTCATTCATTTATTCATTCATTCATTTATTCATTCATTCATTCTTTCATTCATTTATTCATTCATTCATTTATTTATTCATTCATTCATTCATTTACAGATTCCAGCCAATCAAGGTTCGTTCCTTTAATACTTATTATTATTATTATTGTTAGTAGTAGTATTATTATTATTGTAATTATTGTTGTTATTATTTGTTAGTATTATTATAATTATTATTATAAATTATTTACACTTTAACTTATCGCTTGTGAATTTTATTTGGTCTGAGACCATCTTTACAACGAGATTTGACTAACTCGTAAGCTGTCTATTGCGACGGAAGACGGAAACTCGAATGTATCGCAACCGTTTTTAGACCGGTCTTCTGTCTCTAGTTCTGGGTATTTCATTTCGATATAACGGCGAAATAAAAAGAAAACAAATCGTCAAATCAAATTGATTGGCTCATCTGCACGTAATGATAGCTTCTTATGGTTCTACGCTGTTATAATTTAGTAATTAATTAATTATTTTATTAATTTATTAATTCTTACAGTTAGGCACTGGCGTTGAGTCGATTGGTAATATGGAGTACTTAACTGAAATAAAATGAAATAAAATGAAATAAAATAAAATAAAATGAAATAAAATAAAATAAATGGAAATGAAATGGCGAGCATCCTAAAATACTTTACCGATTTTATATTTTATTCTATTTTGTCATATTTTCGTCTTTTTCATTTTTTGTTTGTTTGACTTTTGGCAAAAAAATGTAAAGAGTTTCCATTATTTGAACTGTTTCTACTACCATTGTGGGTTTTTTTTATTTTTTGCTGCAGGTACGTACGGAGCTCAGAATCATCTGGTCGGTTGATAAATAATTGAACAGTAGTCTTAGTATTGTTAAAACTTATTGTTTGTTTATTTGTTTGTTTGTTTATATATTTTGTCTATTTATTCGTTCAATCTATCTGTTTATTCATTTTTTGTTTCATTCATTTATTCGTTATGGTGTCAGTTGTTTAAATTCGTTAGCTGATGGTTTGGTTATTTGGAAGCGGTACCCATATCATCATCATCAGCATTTTTAATCTGTCAAACTTTCTCACGCCACCACCACCACCACATCATCACCACCACCCACCGCCACATCATCATCATCATCATCGCCACAATATCATCATCATAACAGCCTCGACCAATCCGAACGTACATACCTGATCAAGTGTTTCGAGACCTGCCATTGGACAGAACGAATGACTTCATCTACGAATCGACAACCCTATTGGTCAGGTCGATTATGTCACTGACGACTGCCGCCAATGATAGGAATTATAATAAGGCCTATGCAGAGCTATCTATGGTTGGTCGGTTGGCTGACTGGGTGGTTGGTTGGTCGGTCGGTTGGTTGGTTGATTGTTTGGTCGGCTGGCTGACTGGCTGGTTGGTTGGATGGTTGGTCGGTCGGTTGGCTGGTTGGTTGGTTGGTTGGTCGGTTGGTTGGTTGGTTGGTTGGCTGGCTGGTCGGTTGGTTGGTTGATTAGCTGATTGGTTGGCTGGTTGGTTGGTTGGTTGGCTGATTGATTGATCGATTAAATGATTGATTGAATAATTAATCGATTAATTAATTTGTTTTTTGATGGTTTGATTGGTTGACTGTTCGGTTGGTTTGATTCGTCAGTTGGCTGTTGTTGTGTTGAGTAGTTGTTAATTGATTTGTTGAATAGCCGACGGTTTGATTGATTGGTTGGTTTATTGATTAATTTTAAAATGAAATGATTGATTGATTGGTTGGTTGGTTGAAGAAACACAAAATATCGGCTGAACATCTGAGGGAATGAACAAACGAACGGATGAACAGTCAAGCAAACAAATGAATGAACAAACAAGCAGTCGAAGGAGTGAATGAATAAATAAACGAATAAATAAATGAATAAATAAATGAATAAATAAATAAATAAATGAATAAATAAATAAATAAATGAATAAATAAATGAATAAATGAATGAATGAATGAATGAATGAATGAATGAATGAATGAATGAATGAATGAATGAATGAATTAATGGCTAAACGAGTGAGTCATGAACAAAGGTAGATATAATTTTGCAGGAAGATATTGGTTGTAATTATGAGATAATCGCAGTTCACGCCATCAATTATTATTTATCATTCTTATAATCACTGTTACAGGGATTAGAATAAATTATTATTATTAATACTATTATTATTATTAGTAGTAGTAGTAGTGGTAGTGGTAGTAGTAATATAGTAATATTAGTAGTAGTAGTAGTAGTAGTAGTAGTAGTAGTAGTAGTAGTAGTAGTAGTAGTAGTAGTAGTAGTAGTAGTAGTAGTGGTAGTGGTAGTGGTAGTAGTGGTAGTAGTAGTAGTAGTAGTAGTAGTAGTAGTAGTAGTAGTAGTAGTATAATTATTATTATTATTTTTTATTAATGAATGAATGAACGAATGAGTCATGAAATGAACAAAGGTAGAAATAATTCAGCAGAAAGGAAATTTGATAAAGTCGAAAGGTTTTAAAATTAGCACAAATATGATCAATGTCTGCAATTGAATCTAAAAAGCGAACTTTGAACTATGAATAAAATCTTTTGAAATTTCTTTATTGTAAAATTTTATGATACTTTTAATTTATCGCTAGTCAATTTAGTTCTGAACACTTTCGAAACAATTAAGTCTCTTTTATCATCATCATATTCAATACGTTGTGAGAGAAATAGCGAATGAATCCTATTTTAAACTACTATCTTGTATCTATCCTGTATCTATCTTTTATCTTGTATCTCTTTTGGGGGGCCCCTTTTGTGTGGAGGCCCTGAGCAGTCCCTGGGCACCTGCCCTACCATAAATCTGGCACTGGTAGTAGTGGTGGTAGAAGTAGTAGTAGTAGTAGTAGTAGTAGTAGTAGTAGTAGTAGTAGTAGTAGTAGTAGTAGTAGTAGTAGAAGTATTAGTAGCAGTAGTGCTAGTAGTTGTATTTTTTCCGACATTTTTTTAGTCAAATGCCTTATTCTATTTATAAACCAGTTTTAACCAGTTTTGCTATCATCATCGACAACATCATCATCATTAACAACAACATCATCAACAACAACAACAACATCATTATCATTTTCATCAAATATGTCATCACCCTCATCAGCATCCTCATTATCATCATCATGCAGTCTGTTGGTACAAGTTTGAAACAGCTGATTGAAGCAGTTGATGCTGGCATCACCGCTCTTTTACCTGAAGCCATTGAAGAAGTTTTTATTCATTCATTCATTCATTCATTTGTCCATATATTCATTTATTTATTCGTCCATTCATCCATTCATTCATTTATTCATTCATTCATTCGTTTATATATTCATTCATTCGTTCATTCATCTATCCATTCATTCATTTATTCATCCATTCGTTCATTCATTCATTTACTGCGTCGTCAATGGCACCTCCATCTCCATTAAATTCTTCCTTCCAGGTGAAAATGGCGCGAAAGTTGTTGATCTCCGACATGAGCAACCTGGTGAAGCACACGAAGCTGGCAGACGCCAACAGATCAACCGTCATCGATTTTCAGTACCGGAAACAGATGTTGCAGGCCGCTCACGTGATCGCCGTGGACGCCAAGAACCTTCTGGACACCATCGATTGCGCCCGGAAGTTCACAATGTACGTCACCGGAAGAGAACTGCCGGAAGTTGTTTACTCTAAGCCGGAAACGGAACTTGTTATTGCCAAAGATAATAATGATAACGTTGAGAAAAATATTTCTGGAGATCAAAGCGACGGTAAAGATGCTAAGAAAAGTGTGGCTGATGATCCTGATGATGTTAACGCTCAACGAGACGACGACCACAAATGTAGTAGTGGCGGTGGTGGTAACGGTTGCGGTTGCAGTAAAGCTAGTGGCAGCATTAAAGTTGAAGGTGGCTACGAATGCTTAACGAGATTCAACAATGGAGGGGCAGTAGAAATTGTTGATGGAGGCCAAACAACGACCAAAACTACAACAGCCACAACAACTACAACAGCCACAACAACTAAAACAGCCACAACAACTACAACAGCCACAACAACAACAACTACTACTACTACTACTACTACAAACATGGATGTTTGAGGTAGAAAGAGAGTAACTGGTGGAAAAATGTCAATCAACGAACATGGTGATGATGATGATGATGGAGGTTTTCATGATGACGATGATGATGATCGTCATGATGATGATGATGATAATGATGACGTTTTCTGGCGACATTAGTAAAGTGGAAAAATGGTAGTGTAGGAATGACCAACTGTATTGAAGTCCTTAAATTTTATGCTGGTTGGCCCCAGTTCAACATTTGTAAATTTTCACACTTCGGGTACTTGTGTATGTATTGATATGTTTATATATTTATATGCAACTAGATACATATGTATGTATAAGTGTATTTAAGTATATGTAAGTATATATATATATATGTATATGTATATATATATATATTCTTCTTCTTCTTCTTAACAATAATATTATAGTCGGTGGTTCAGATTTTGAAATTGTCAAAACATTCCAAAATATTTGGATGTTATATTTGTTGCGACGTGCGTGCGTCCGTCTGTGTATGTGTGTGTGTGTGTTTGTCTGCCTGTGTATTTCTGTGTATGTATGTGCTTGTCTGCCTGTATATTTCTGTGTTTGTTTGTATGTATGTGTTTGTCTGCCTGTGTATTTCTGTATTTGTTTGTGTGTTTCTGTGTGCGTGTGTGTGTGTTTGTGTGTGTGTGTGTGTGTGTGTGTGTGTGTGTGTGTGTGTGTGTGTGTGTGTGTGTGTGTGTGTGTGTGTGTGTGTGTGTGTGTGTGTGTTCTTATAATTTGCATGAAAATTGCCTTGCCAAATTAATTACTGCACTGCAAATAATTTTTAATTATTCCAGCTAAATTATTATGATTATATTATTGTGATTGTTTCTTCTCTTCATTTTTATTATTACTGTTGTTGTTGTTGTTATTGTTATTACTCTTGTTGTTGTTATTGTTGTTGTAATTATTGTTTATTGTTGTCTCCTTTAATTCCTATAACAAATCATCATTACCATCACCATCATCATTACTATCATCATCATTACCATCACCATCATTACCATCATCACCCTTGCTATTTTTTACATTTTCATCTATCACCACCACCATCATCGTCATCGTCGTCGTCATCATCACTATTCACCATCATCATCGTTATTTCTATCATTATTGTTATTATTATTATTATTATTATTATTATTATTATTATTATTATTATTATTATTATTATAATCATTATCATTATCACCATCATCATCATCATTAACTCAAGGTCGTCATCATCACCATTTTTATGTTCGTAAAATTTGTCGTTCTTCTGTTTTTTCAAATCGCGCTAAAAGTGCCTCTCAGTTTTGTTTGAATATAGTTTTCAGATGCCATTGGGTAATCTTCAATTAATTTTATAATCTTTCAGTAGTAAATGAATCATCACTTAATTTAAATTTTTAATTTGATTGATTGATTGATTGATTGATTGATTGACTGACTGACTGACTGACTGACTGGTTGGTTGGTTGGTTGGTTGATTGATTGATTGATTGATTGATTGATTGATTGATTGGTTGATTGATTGATTGATTGATTGATTGATTGATTGATTGATTGATTGATTGATTGATTGATTGATTGATTGATTGATTGATTGATTGATTGATTGATTGATTGATTGATTGATTGATTGATTGATTGATTGATTGATGGATTGATGGATTGATGGATTAATGTTTAAATGAATACTATATTTCTTACTGTCTATGTTTATTGGTTGATGCTTCGGTTACATACACTGGTTAATTTAATAAGAACTACACTTTCTACAATTAATTAATTACATAATTTATTTATATATTAATTTATCTGTTAAGTTATTAATATTTCCAACGCTAAAGATCGTCGCGTTACGATGATGATAAAGTGCCTACATCGTCCCCTTTCACTTTCACGAGTAATTCTAAATTCTAAATTTCATTTTATTTATTTGTTTGTTTTAATCTGTCATTATTCGTTGAAGACTTTATTTCGATTGGTCCTTTTTGAAAATCATTACGTCATATTTCGTGATGAAACGTAGACAGTGTATTTTATTTACTCGTGAATTTTATTTCAATTTTTTACAATTCCATCCGACATTACAAATTTTAAGATTTATTCTTATTGCAAGTTATTATTCAAAATGTTTAAAAGTAATTCGTCATTATTTTGTAATTATGTCTAAATTGAAACTAATCTACTCTACAAGTTAGGAGCATAAACTGAAATTGTTTTCAATTCTAGCTTTACTAAGCTATACAAAAATTTATATAATCTTTTCTGACTTTTTTCGACTTAAAACTTTCTATTTCTCCAATTTTATAAAAATCTCAACTAACTGTATGTACTATTTTTTTCTGTCTAATGCGTCAAAATCTGATTTTAAAGACTCGTACCGAAAGTTAATCTGCTGTCTGGTCAGTATTTTCTCGCTCCACTTTTGGAATTTATGATTTTGTTTGTAAGCTGCGTGGTTTCATTTCATGATAAATTCGGTTCCAGTCAACACGAGGTCGTAGTAAGTTTCAAAAATGAAATTATTATTGAGTTGCCCAGAGGGAGGCAGACAAGGCAAATTGCCTCGGGCAACAAGATTTGCAGGGCCACAAAGATCATGGTCGCGAGTTGGGACAACTAATTATGGAAACGTTTGGCAGGCGAATAGGTTATTGACTTAATGCCAAAATCAGGAAATACGGTGATGAACAAAATAGTCACCGACTTTGGGCCTCACCAAACTCTTTCTGGGTGGCCCCGATAATCCTTATAAATATCGACCTTTTCCAAATTGCCAGCAAGACAGCCGGCGAATCAAATAAAATTTTTATAGTTCAGTGAAATGAGATCATTGAATTCCTTGAACTTCTGGAGAGAAAGTTGAAACTACGCCATTTGAATGGTGTGTCAAAAAAAAGTAAAATCGAGACTACAACAAAGATAAATGGCAACCTCTATACTATCTATATTTTATTTCTATTTTCCAGGCCCAGAAACTCATCTACTTAAACAAAAGCTCTGAAGTTAGGGAATAAAGTAGTAAACTTGCTCGTGTATATAGGTATGGTGACTAGTGTATGAATGAGAATTCGCGGTTATTGAAAATGAAAGGTTGAATAAACAAAATAATAAAGTTGTATTAGATGAATTCAAATTTTGAGTAATAATAGAGAAACAGAATAAGATTGAATTTATAAAGTGTGTCTTTCATTGAAGTTCCAAGTGTATGATTTCAAGTATTTCGTTTTCGTTGATGTGAAGGGCTTCATCAGTTTTCGTTGTTTAAAAATTAAAATCAAAATAAAATTTAAAATGGCGACCGGCGGAGAAGAGTTAAATGCCGAACAAATGGACAAACTGCTCCAATTTCAAGTTTCATTTAATTTTTCTTCCTTAAATTTTAATAATTTTCAATTTTTCGTTCCATTTGATGTGGCCAATGTTTCCAATTCAAATGTCATTCCATGAATCATGCTGATTTTATGTTGCTTGAGTGAATGAAAAAAAATGTCAAGTCATTATTATTATATTAATATTTATATTATAATTTTTTATTTATTTATTATAACTTTTAACTATCATTCATTTTTGTTTGTTTTATTTTAAAAAATTCAGAGTTGAGTTTTTTTTTTATAAAACATTACTCAGTGAAACTTTTCTGTGTTGTGTTGTCCTCTTTGTTCTTTATAATAAAAAATAAATGTTGTAGTAAATAATGTAGTATGGAGATTTATTTTTTATAGAAAAATCAATTTATGAACTTAATTTTATTAATTTATGATATTTATTTCAAATTAAATTTAAAGTTTTTTTCATCATATAAAAAAGTATGAAGTAATAAAATGAAATAATTGCAAATACTTAATGACAAAAAATTTTAATAAATATTAATTCAGGATCTGACAGGCATTGAAGACTTTGATAGATGCAAATCCATTCTAATCAGTCACCAATGGAATCTGGAAGTTTGTTTGACTTCATTACTTTTAATTTTGAAATTTACTTTGAAACTTTACTAACTTCATTTACCTTTTTTTATCCTTAAATAAAATTTTTACTAAAAAATGAACTCTTTCAGTCAACTTATAATTATACCCTATTTTACTTTTCTGCTTTTATTTCAAAGTTTTAGGTAGATTGTTAGTTAGTTATTTACAAATAATTTTAAATTTTGAATTTGTAAATTTAGTTTAATTAGTCTTACTTGAAAAATCATTAATTTTTGTTTAAAGTTTAACATTCAGTTGATCTGATAACTAACAATTTAGGTTATGTTTTAGGTTAGGCACAAAAATTGTAGCTAGGTCAGTATTCATGTGTAATGTGTAATCATTTTTGTGTTTGTATTTTTTTTTATTCTTTAAAAATCAGGATCTGACAGATGCAGAAACTGTAAATATTTAAATAGTTTATATTATACCCTTGCATAAAATAAATTAATATTGATTTTTAAATATTTTATATAATAGATTGTCAACTTTTTTTATTTTTCATCATGACTTTGTCATTTAGTTTTCTGAATTCTTTTATAATAATAATAATAAAAAAAAAAAAATAAATATAATAATTTCTCTCAATAAATTAATTTTATAACAATTAATCTAGTTAATTTATTATTATTAATTTATTATTATTATTATTATAATTATTATTATGAAAAAAAAAACATTGGCGAAGACAAAATGTCCCTATGCCCGCAACACAAAATTAACTATAAAATTTTAAACAATTTATTAATCTAGTTAATTAAGTTAAATTAGAGAAAAAAAATAGTTGAAAATGAATTTTTCCAACAACTAAAAACAGTCAGCAGTAGAAGACCGATTTACAGATCCCAGCCCACCCCCGCCACCTCCAATGTTACCGCCCTCGCTGTCGACAACGCATTACAACAACAACACGCTGCCGACGAATCGATTTCTCCGGCAGAGGAGGGAGAGACCACCACTTGTAAATGTCAGCCCCCCTGATCAAAGGTTGCCTGCCTGGAGAAACTAGAAATTATGAAATTTTTTTTTTCGTAATTATTAATTAATTATTTCATTAAAAATATGGTTTATTATTATTTTTATTTGTTATTATTTGTATTTTTATGGTTACTTTTTTTGTTTTTATTAATCTTTTTTTGTTGTTCTTTTCATTACTACCGTTGCATCATCGCATGCATACTGCAATTAATAATTATAATTATGACAGGATGGTGATAATTATATTTAATTATAATTGACTCAATTGCATAGGTCAATGGTAGACTATATATTGGTATTGGTAAGGGCCAAACATAGGAAGTATGTGAAGAATGTGAAGGCGATACCTGGTATGCTGCAGCATAGTATGGTTGTGATGGATGTGACATCAAAAGAAATGGGGAGGAGGAAGAAGGATAAGTTTGTGGCAAAGAGAAAGACATGGAAGTTGCAGGATGCAGAGGTGAGGAAGGCATTTGAAGTGAAGGTGGCTGAAAATTGGGAGAGTGGTAAGGATGGAGATGTTTGTGAGAGATACAGGGACTGTGTGTTGGCTACGGCAGATAAAGTATGTGGATGGACGAAAGGAAAGTGTAGGCATGGTGAGACGTGGTGGTGGGATGAAGATATAAGAAGGGTTTTGGAGGTCAAGAAGGAGAGGTTTAGGGTATGGAGAAGGGACATGACGGAGGAAGCGGAGTTTGAGTATAGGAAGGCTAAGAAGGTTGCAAAACAGGCAGTGGCAAATGCAATGACGAAAGCATCAGATAGGTTAATGAAGGAAATGGAATTTGATGTGAGTTCGAGGAAAATGTTCAAAGTAGCAAAGCAGTCAATGAGAGATAGGAAAGATGTTATAGGGAATGGATGTGTTTGGGATGGATCTGGCAAGTTGTGCATAGATGAGGAGGAAAAAGCTCATATGGAAAGGTTGATGAATGAAGAGAATGAGTGGGATGGAGATGTGGAATCCGCGGTCACACACGGACCTATAGAGAAGGTGACGATGGAGGAAGTAGAGAAAGCAGTTAAAGAAATGAAACTAGGTAACGCGACAGGGGTTTCGGAAGTGGCGGCAGAACATTTAAAAGCGAGTGGGGTGATAGGAATTGAAGTTATGATGAGAATTGCTAACAGTATGTTTGATGATGAAGGTATACCTGAGGATTGGCAACACAGTGTGTTGGTGCCGTTGTATAAGGGCAAAGGAGATGTGAGAGATTGTGGGACATATAGGGGTGTGAAATTGCACGGAATGAAGGTAGTGGAGAGGGTGCTTGAGAGGAGGTTGAGAAATATGGTGACAGTTAATGAAATGCAGTGTGGGTTTATGCCTGGTAGGGGAACGGTGGATGCGTTGTTCATTGTGAGAATGTTGCAGGAGAATTATAGAAAGAAGAAACGAAGATTGTACATGTGTTTTGTGGATCTAGAAAAGGCTTTTGATCGAGTACCGAGGAAGGTCATTGAATGGGCGTTGAGGAAAAAAAGGAGTGAATGAGAGACTTGTTAAAGCTGTGATGCAGCTGTATGAAGGGGCAAAGACAAAGGTGAGGGTTGGAAGGGGGATGTCGGACGCTTTTAGTGTTAAGGTAGGAGTGCATTAAGGATCAGTGTTATCACCGTTTCTGTTTGCAATTGTGATGGATGTTGTGTGTGGAAACATAATGGAAGGGTTGTTATTTGAGATTTTGTATGCAGATGATTTAGTCTTGATGGCTGATAGCATGGAAGAATTGCAGTTAAAATTTGCCAGATGGAAAAGTGTTATGAAAAGAAAGGGTAAAAGTTAATATTGGTAAGACGAAGGTAATGGAGTGGGAAG